TATTACCCTGATTGTGCTAATGCACACTGTAAACTAGGAAGGTGTGATACTACACAACATAAATATTTACACTGTTAATAAATGTTTAAATGAGTTTAGCACTTGAGAATGTGTATTCTCTGGCTGTTGGGTAGAAAGTTCTATATAATAGCATTCCACAAAAATGTTTATGGGGGGCCAGCATGATAGCCTAGTGGCTAAAGTCCTCACCATGCATGTGCTGCTGGAATCCCATATACGTGCCAGTTTGTATGCTGGCTGCTCTACTTCTCATCCAGATTCCGGCCTGTGGCCAGGGAAGCAGTAGAGGATTGCAAAAGCTTTAGGACCCTGCACTCACGTGGGAGAACAAGAAGAAGCTCATGGCTCCTGGATTCAGATCGGCTCAGCTCCGGCTATTGTGGCCATTTGGGGAGTGTACCAGCAGACAGAAGATCTTTCTCTCTGTAAACCTGACTTTCCTAAATAAATAAATACATATTTTAAAAAAACGTATGTAGAAAGTCAAGTAACTAAAATAGTAAAAAAAATTCTGAATCAAGAATCATTCTATTATATAGCTCTCATAACTGTCCTACCAGGACAGAATAAAACATACAAATCAATGGAAGAGTAAAGAATTCTAGAATGACCCACAAAGAATGCCCATCTGACCTTTGATAAAGCTGCAGCAGAAAATCAATGAAGACAAAATTGGCTTTTCAACAAATGGTGCTGAAATTATTGAATATTCACAAATACACAAACATACCTTGACCTAAATGTCATATCATATGCTTAGTTAAGTCCTCATACATGCACTACAAGAATGGACTCACAATGAAATAACTGGTAATCTCTACATTATTGGGAGACACATCAGTGGCAGCATGATGGATTTGTGAAAATTCACAAAAGACACCCATTGTAGGACTGGAAGGAAGAACAGAGGGGAAGAGAGGGAATTTGGGAAGGGAAGGGTAGACCCAAGTGCCTATTAAACTGTATCATAAAACAACTAAAACAACAACAAAAAGCAAATCAGAGATTAAAAGCATTCACACAATCAGAGAAGAAAAGTTTCTTTAAGATCTACTAGGACCTGATGAAACTTACACAATCCAACAAATAGAAAAAAGGTTGCTTTGTTTAAATTTTGAAACTTATGATCTGGCTGCCACCAGGGCATGAAAAGCCACTGTGCATATGGAGTGTGGACAGGCGGTAAACTTGGGAGAGATGGAAAACTGGGAAGGGAATCTGGAGATGTACTAGAGTGTCTGACAGGCAAATAATAATTTCTCATGGCTTCCATGGACCAATCACAAGATAATGTGGTCTGACCTGGGAGTGCCTCAGTTGCTGACTGTGCAACACACTGCATACTCAGATGTACATGGCGGACATGACAGCCAAACCAGCTCATCTAAGCCAGAAGACATTGAGTACCTCATCAAATGGGAAAGAGGAGAGGGTAGACAAGTGTCCTGACCAAGCTTTGAAGCAAGTGTTTGGTCTATGAGCACACACAGAGGTGGACTCAGTGAATAGAGCTTAGAAAGATTTTCTCAACCCTGATACCATAAAACCAATGTCTCAGAACAATCAAAAGCACTCAGGTAATAACTTTAGAACATTCTTCCCCACGTCGGGATCTCCAAGGTGTCATCAAATGGCTGTGCCCATTCCCAGGTGTTGATGTAGTTTGACAGCAAGTATGACACCCATCCACCTTTATGTTAACAGAACAAAAAAATTGAAACATTTATCTCATACAACTTCCTCTACACCTTGACCCTCCAGTTTTTTTTAAATTTATTTTACATATAAATGTTATTTTTGATGATTGTTATAGTTGATTAGAGTGGGGAAAGTGGATGAGACCATTACTTCCAGATTTCTGGGGGAAGAGGGGAAATGGGAGGGAGAAGCTGCACCCAGCCTCCCAACAGCCCTGACGCTCACTATTTTAATCAGAAGTCCACATGGAACACTCAATTGTAGTTTTCCAAATATAATATAAAATAGTTTAGGAGAAACAAGATGGCAGAATAGGGCAAAACACATCTAAACAGATGGAGAATCATCAGCCAGGGTGAATCAGGAAATAAGAGGACAGGTCAACAGCAGAGGGGCACCTGGAGACTGATGGGCACGGGAAAGCAGTGGAGACAACCGTGTGGTGTTTCAGTGACTAAATAAATACTCCAGTGGCAGTCAGCAAGCAGAGATCTGAGCTCCACCCCCTGGTGGCTGGAGCTCCATCAGCAGCTAGATGGAAAGGAGAGTTCACTGGGAGCTCAGCAGGTGAACCCAGGCAAAGAACTGCCCATCTTGATTGGCTTGATTTGACTAGAAGAAGAAGAGCAGAAGATCCCAAACAGGCTATGCAGGAACAGGGTGGATTTCACAGCCCACCCTCACAAGAACCACATCAGATGCCATTTTCTCTGTCAGGCAAAGGCTTTGGAATGGGACTGTGCATGCACTAAGATGGGAGCAAACTCATCTCTGGCTCAGCAAATTGCACGAACATGGCATCTCCCAGCTCTAATGGCCAGCAGATCCAAATCACCACCAGTGACATATCAGGGGACATTTTATATAGTGTGGCAAAAGCTATCAGATTGCAGGGACAACATGCTGTGCGTGCAATGAGTGGAGAGCAAACTAACTTCCAGTCCAGGGAATTGTACTTGTCCCAGAGAGAAAATAATACCAATTTTGGCATCCTATGTGTCAAAACGGTTCTAATGTATTCAAGAATTAAAGAGATTATTAAAAGGCCAAATATAAGAGTTATGTGAGTTCCAAAAGGTGCAGAAAGAGAAGTTGGGTTTAAAAATGTATCAATGAAATAATAAAGGAAAACTTCCTTACTCTGGAGAAAGAAGAGGGACACAGAATTCCCAATAGGACTAAACCAAAGCAATTTTACCACCACACATGATAATCAGCTCTCTTCAACTGAACATAAAGAAAAGATCTTAAATGTGCACATGAAAAAAATCAAATACCAGTAGAGGAAGGGTAATCAGACTCACGGTTGATCTCTCAGCAAACTCTACAGGCCAGAAGAGAATGGAGTGACATATTCCAGATTCTAAAAGCAAAAAATTGTCAGCCCAGAATAATGTACCCAGCAAAGCTCCCCTTTGTCTTTGAAAATGAAATAAAATTCTTCCACAATAAATAAAAGTTAAAATACACCTCTTCCAGGCCTGCCCCATGATACTTAAAGATATTCTCTTGACAGAAAAAAGGAATAGCACTCACCAAACCAAAGGCTAAAGCAGAGACCTTCCCAGTAAAATAACAGACTAATCCCAGATATGGAACTGTATCATAAAATAATAATAAAATAAAGAACTGGGGGAAATAACAAGAAATAGGTAACTACTTAATATCATATTAACTCCAATATAAAGTGTATAAAGGGAACCTCAGAAGTTACCTATTGCTCCCAGGACGATATCATGGTCGATGATATAAGGAATTGGTTTAGAAATCCCAGTAATCACAAAGAATATACACTTCAATGAATTGATTCTTGAGCCATACAGATATTGAATAAAATGAAATGACTTCTTTAAAAAAATTTAAGTAACTAAAAAAGAAAAAAAAGTATGATCTGTAGAAGAAGACAAGGTACAGACTAGAAGAAAACTTTTGCAAACATGTCTGACAAAATTTTACACCTAGAACTCTCAAACATCAAAAATGAAAAAGTAAGCTACTCAAACAGAAAATGGTAAGAGATACGAAGAATCAGTTTACAAAAGCAAACACAGAAGTCAAATAAGCATATGCAAATGTTCCACATTATTAGCTATAATGGTCAGAATATTTATGGCCTCCTAATTATATATGAAGTCCTAATCCTATTATGATTATTAGAAGAGTATTTCGGGGGCCCAGCGTCGTGGCCTAGTGGCTAAAGTCCTCGCCTTGAACGTGCCAGGATCCCATATGGGCGCCGGTTCTATTCCCAGCAGCCCCACTTCCCATCCAGTTCGCTGCCTGGGAAAGCAGTCCAGGACGGCCCAGAGCCTTGGGACCCTGCACTTGCCCATGGGAGACCCAGAAGAGGCTCCAGGTTCCCAGCTTCAGGTCAGTGCAGCACCGGCCATTGCGGCTCACTTGCGGAGTGAATCATTGGACAGAAGATCTTCCTGTCTCTCCGCCTCTCTGTATATCTGCCTTTCCAATAACAAAATAATAAAAATAAATCTTTTTTAAAAAAAAGAGCATTTTGGAGGCAACTGTTCTAACTGGCAAAATTTGGATTCGTTCCTTCTTAAGAAAAATCTAAAGGTCTCCCTAGCATTCTTTGCTTCCTTGTGAGGGTACTAATCAGCAGGCTACAACCCAGAAGAGGAACTGCATTTCAATCTATTCTGTTGGCACTAGGACCTCAGACTTGCAGCTACTACTGTGAGAAATAAACTTAATTTTTTAGAAGATCCATTTTCTTATAGAAGCTTTAATTAAGCCTAGTCATTAGGAAAATGCACAAGAAAAATATTAAAGTAGAAGAAATGTAAAATAAATAATACAGCTATTCTGGAAAGCAGTTTGGCTATTTCTTTTTTTCTTAAGACTTATTTATTTGAAAAGAGAAGGAAAAAGAGAAGAGAAGAGTAGAGCTCCTGCATCTGTTTCCCTCCCCAAGTGGCTATAATGGCTGAAGCTGCACCTGACAGAATCATAGAGCTTGGAATTCCGTCTAGTCCCCCCACATGTGTGGCAGGAACACAGGTACCTGGGCCATTTCCACCACCTTTTCAGGCACCAGTAGGAAGCTGGATCAGAAGTGGAACAGCTGGGACTCAAACCAGTATGGGAACTGATGGAACTAAAATCAGCTACAATATGGGATGCCAAAACTGCAAGAGGCAACTTGATACTTTGTGCCAAAGCACCAGAGCCTAGCTGTACTTTTAGAACTTAATATACGCTTACCACCATTTAACTCAGTAGACAAATAATCAGGCAACTATACCAGAATGAAAACGTGTATATAAAAATCTGTACAAATTATTCATTATAATTTTATTTATAATAGATCAAAATTGGAAATAACAAAAATGTGCAATGGGATTAAGCAACTTGTGCTACACACAATCTATATACTGTGAAACGTGTTATTAGTAAAACTATGAACTACTGATACATGAAATAATCTGACAGATATGCAGGAAAACAGCAAACTTTCAAGGATCTTTTCTTACATGTTTTCATTCATATGACACAATTACAGAGACAGAGAAAAGTTGGTGTTCACCAAGGATTAAGGAATGTGGGCAGGAGACATGCTGGGGGAGTAGCAACTAAAAAAACAGAGGTATCTGTGGTAATAAAACAGTTAAATACACATTGAGTGTAATACTGCTCACCTGAAATCCACACGTGATAAAATGTGTAACTACAAACATACTAAACATGTCAAATTCCTGTATTTCTTATAATGCTATAATGTTGCAAGATGTAACCATTGCAGAAAGTGGAATGTACCACTTCTGTATGCTGCCATTGTAACTCCAATTTGCAATCTATAATTATTTCTAAATTAAAACTAATAACTTGGATAATATGCAACACTTTTAAAAACACCTATTAAAATCATAGTACTTGAAAAAAAAAATAAGTCAATTGCTCCGTAATTTCTATTAGCGCACATTTTGGAAAACGTGGTTGATGTTCATAACCTTCCAAATGAAAATTACACCATCACCATTGTATAAAACAAAAGTAGACTGAGTTAAAAAGTAGAAACTAGCATTGAAATTAAAACTACATTTAACTTTATTCTTTAGAGCAAATTAATTCTATAATCATACCTAAACTGAAATATATATAACTACTAAGAAGTACATCTCTTCAAGCTGCTTTATACTTAATTTTTGGCATGTAAAACATTTGCAATTGCAATAAAACAGAACGAGAGAGCACCTAAAAATGAATGAATAAAACCAAAAGTGTAACAACATAGACTTATGCATTTACTTGAAATACTGAAATCCCAGCAAAATACACAAATCAAGTTCTGTTGTACTACTCAGTGTTTTAGTAATCCATATTATAAACTGATCTAGAGGAAATGCTCTTATGACCTGTTACCACCCAAAGTAATACAGGGTATTTCAAGACACTGTTCTGTGACTTCTAGCCTCTGCTCTTCTTCAGAATTACCTGTAAGGGGAGAAAAAAAACGAGGATTATACTATGCCTATGGAAAATAAAACAATTCCTCAATGAAAAGTTAAGTAGTTCATGTGCATAGTTTGAAGAGAGCTGTTTGTAAACAAGTTGAAAAGTCCAATTTAGAAGATGATTAGGAAACTTTAGCCTTATCAGTAGAGTCAGATTTCTCTCCATGTCTCAATGAATATGAAAAATGTTTAGACTCTCAAAACCCGTTTCATTTCAGATGTTAATTTGTTTAAGCGAAAAGGAATTCAGACCAGTGACTTGATATTGAGGGTTTTTGAATAATTTATCCAGAGATGAATGTTTTAAGACCCAAAAATCTATTATAGTTCAAGAATTTCACAAATGACATAAAATTCAGTGCAATGCCAAAAATTTTATATTTGAGGTGGAATTTCAATTTGGAGACCAAAACTGCTTATTTTATACTGAACAGCTTCATCAAGCAGACAATCTTCAAAATGCATACATAGACTGTGGCAGAAACAAGGAGGAAAATGAATGCTTCAATTATAAAAAGGCTAAGAATATTAAGGACAGCATCTATCCATAATTATAGATTAATTTATTTTTAGGTAAGTACAATCTGGCTTACTAATAAAACAAAAAAAAACCCTTAAGTTTAAAATGATGACATACAGTCTTCAAGCTTCTAATCCATGTATTATCTGCAGACAATAGCTTTAGTTTAAACATCTACAAACTCATTGCAATGTTCCTAAGTGCAAAAAGCAGTCAAACCCCTGAAGGAACACCAGAAAATGCACAGCGGAGCCTTTTGCAGAAGCCATCAACAGGTCTATCGCCTAGACCTGCACTTCTCTATTCTACAAGATGTTACTACGGATACTGAAAAAGGCCAGTTGTTATGTACCAAAATGAGTTTGCAAAATGGCAAGCATATTTCTAAATAATTCACATAATCTTAAAGCAGCTTGTTATAATGTTTCATAACCATGCATAACTTCAGTAATATAATGCCACCATGCAAAACTGAATAAAAGGTACAATGGGGGACAATCAAGATGGCGGAATAGGGTAAGGCCATGTTGAAATGGATGGAAAAACGTTTAATCAGGATGAAGCAGAGAGGACACATTGGAGGATATAGGAGAGGACAGAACAAGAATAGAGGAGTATCTAGAGACTCACAGACACAGGAAAGCAGCAGGCACAGCAGTGTGGTGTTGCAGTGACTGATATTCCACCAGCACTAGGCTAATGGCAATCAGAACTCCACCAGCAGCTGGAACTCCACCAGCAACCAGGTGGGAAGGGACTTTCACTGAGAGATTGGGAGGCAAAACCAAAGAAACATTCACCCTGCTGTTCCATTTGATTTGAACAGGAGCAGAGACGGAGCAGCAGATCCCAGATAGGCAGTGTGAGAACAGGGTGGATTTCATAGCTCAGTCAGCCCACTAGAGCTAAATTGGGTGCCATTTTGTGTAGGAGACAAAGGCAAGGAGAAAGACTGAGCATGCGCTGAGCTGGCAGTGAACTTGTTTCTGACTCAATGAATTGCATCAACGTGGCATTCTGCAGGTTTGGTTAGCCCTCAGATCTGATGGCCAGCAGATCAAAAACTCTAGTAGTGGTATGTCAGGTGCCATTTTGTACACTGTAGCAAAAGTTTAGGACTGCAGGGGACAACAGTGAACTGCGCATGAGCTGAGATCCGGAGAACTTGCTGAGGTCCATGGATTGCATTGGTCCTGCAGGAAAATAATACCATCCGTGGCATCATACGGGTGAAGATAGGTCCGTGTGGCACCCAGACCTAACGTCCAACAGGTTCCAACAAGATCAGTGCCACCAACAACCTAATTAGATAGGACATCTGGTGTCTCCCTAATCCTGGGAACTGCTCCAACCGGAAGTGGGAGAAAGGTAGCAAAGACAACAGGGCAGCCTCAGCATGATATCACAGGAGGTGGAGAGTGGTGAGCCAAGAGCTGGGGTTGTGGTGACCACCGTGGAAATCTGACATAAGAACCCAGACCTGGAACTCACAAAAGGTTGTGGCACAAGTGGCTACAAGTAAAAAGTTGTGTACCAACTGCAATAAGTAAAACTGCATTGCAGACCTGTGGGTGACAGAGCTTAGAAACCTGCCCCAAGGAGAAGACTCTGCTAACCAGAAGTACAATGACCAAGAGCAAAAGAAGAGACAAAGGCACAATGAATATTACCAAAAACACCCCTGCAAAGGAGCAAAACCCTATGCCAACCTTAGAGTTAACTGAGGAAGTCATCCAGAAAATGGGGGACACAGAATCCAAAAGACTCATTTTAAAGCTTCTGATCAACAATGAAAAGCTCATGCAAGAGTTCAAAGAACTCAATGTTTCAAATCAAGGCTGGTATATCAGAAATGAAGAAAACAGTATAGCAAATTAAAAGTACAGTGGAGAGTCTCCAAAATAGAATGAAGCAAGCAGAAGAATCTCAGAATTGGAAGATATTTCCTGTCACCAGGGGGAAACAAACAAAAAGCTGGAAGCAGAGCTGGATCAGGCCAAAAAAATATTCAAGAATTGAAAGAGACTATTAAGAGGTCAAATGTTCTCTTGACAGAGAAGAGGAACAGCACCTACCAAAACCAAAGGCAAATGGGAAGAACATCCCAGTAAAATGACAACAGAAGACTAAACCAATGAACAACCCATTCCTAAAATGGCAAGACCAAAGTTCCACCCATGTATATTAAACTCTGAATAAATGGCTTAAGCTCAAATGGTATAGAGTAAAAAGCAAAACTCATCTATTTGTTGTCTAGAAGAGACACACTTCACCAACAAAAAATCAGCGGAAAATATATTGCATGTTTTCAGTTAGGTTCAGCTCTTCAAAACACTTTCTTCTGATTAAATCATTCAGTGACTCATAGATCATAGAGTAGCATAATTTTCTTCAAGAAGGTTCTTGATTTTCATTTCTTCAGCTACACGTTAGTCATTTACTAGCATGTTATTTAACTTTATGGTGTTGTTAATTTCTTTTTTCTCCTGGATGTTGATTTTGTTTTGTGGCTCTTCATTTAAGGGGATGTATAGGAGCTGTGTAATGGAGACTGTCATATCTATTAACATGTCATTTAACTTCATGGCACTGTAAATTTCTATTTTTCTCCTGGAAGTTGATTGTATTATGACTTTTCCTTTGAGGGATGTACAGCAGCTGTGAATTGGAGACTAACATCCAGATGTGAGGATACAATGCAGTATGCATTTCTGTTTCCAGACAAAGATAGATTTACAATGAAACTGTTCACTATATCTTGACACTAGGATGCTGGACTCTCTGCCATTGTCCATGCCCGAAATGATGGACATAAGACTGTGTATAAAGAACTATACTTTATAATGATATAGAGGAACCAGGCAGTGTTGCGGAAATTAGGGCTGAGATAAGGAAAATACCAGGAGCCTATGGAACTGTATCATAAAATAATAACAATAAAATGTAAAAAAAAATGTACACTGAACTTCTGAACAATGACTGCACTTTTGGTGAGTCTGTAAATATTCCTCTTCTCCTTTGGCATTTTTCAGTTTTATAATTAAATATGTGCTTGAAAAAAAAGGTTTTCTCCATCATTCTCCTTTTAATCATGGTGGCCAGTTTCTTGTTCACTTTTATTCATAAACAGTACCACTGTGACTAATATAGACATACAAACACTACAACTAACCAGGAGGTAAAGCATCTTAGATATCCACATCCATCTGAGCATATAAGCTGTTGAGGTAACATATTTAATAAATCTTTTGTTCTCGAGCACATATTTGGAAAACTCTCTTCTGAGCAACATATTCTTATAAAAAACAGAAATAAGAATAAAACGCAAGTTCTCACCTTATAAAAGACTTCATTCACAAGTCATTTACATTTCAGATTTAGAAAACTAAATAATTAGGTAACTGGAACAATTACAAATTACCAAGAAGATCTAATAAAATTTAAAGTGATAAACTATCTCTGCCTAAATATGCGTGGTCAAGCATTCATTTTTCCCTAAATGATGGTATGAAAACAGCCATTAATCTTACCAGCAGGAACCCAATAGATGCATATAGGGAAAAATAACTCCATAATTAAATTCCATTGTCATGGAAAGCCCAACTCTTTCAACAAAGCTGAATAAGCTACATAAACCAGGCAAAACTTAAGAATCAGGTGGTTATTTGTTAATTACTGAATAAAGTAAATTTGTATTTCACCTTCGCAGCAGCCAGTACATGATCCTTGTTAATGACTCCACATTTATTCTCACAAGCATTTGTCCTGGACTCCTCTGCTAATCGATGAACAAACAGTAAACAGTTCAGATGAATCTTCAAAAGAAAAAAAAATCCAAATGGGTTTTTAGACTCCAATACTGATGCTTTCAATGATGCATTGTAAAAATTGAAAATCCCAAAATATCATTTCTAATTTTTTAAAGATTTATTTATTTATTTTGAAAGCATTAGAGACCAACAAAGAATTTTCCATTCTTGCTACAAACCGCAGATGGTTCCAACCGTCAAGACTGGAACAGACTGAAGACAGAGTATCATCAGGATCTCCCACATAGGTGACAAAGTGATCTCCCACATTGGTCATCTCTTGCCGCTTGGCCTAGGCCAGAAGCAGTGAGGTGAATTCTGGTGGAGCAACCATTGTCACAAACCAGCCTACAGGATGCCATATGCTGTGATTTACCCACTATGTCAGCCTCTGTAATGTTTTTTTTTTAAAGTTATTTAGGATCCGATCCAGTTTAACTTACATAATCAGAGGTTCCAAAGACTGCATCATTGCAATAAACAAAATAAGGAAACACACAAAAGATCAAAGAACCATAAACAAAAACAGTATCAGAAAGCATCCTAGCGCCAGGTGCCATAGCCTAGTGGCTAAAGTCCTTGCCTTGCTTATGCCAGAATGCCATATGGACTCTGGTTCCTGTCTTATGTCCCAGCTGCTCCACTTCCCACCCATCTGCTTGCCTTTGGCCTGGGAAAGCAGTAGAAGAGAGCCCAAAGCCTTGGGATGCTGCACCAAAGTGGGAGACTTGGCAGAAGCTCATGACTCCTGGCTTTAGATTGGCTGGGCTCTGGCCAATGCATCTACTTGGGGAATAAACCAAAAGACAGATCTTTCTTTCTATATTTCCTTCTCTCTATAAATCTGACTTTCCAATAAAAAAAAAATTCCTATGTATTAAAGTTTATGTAGGACTCAATAACCCTGTTTTTGATATCATGTATTTAAATCAGCGATCTAAATTTTAAATCAAAACACATCAGCAACTTAGGCTCTCATCCTAAGTCTAAGAGATTTCAACTACGAGTTTTAAAATGTTCAAGATGTTATTTTTACATTTGCTGAATTGCAAAATACATATAAAAGTCAAGTTACTTGTCCCGCAAAAATTACCACAAAACAAACATATACACTTTTAATAATATGTAAACCTACAAAGAAGCATAGCCAGATATTAGCACTGTGGCGAGCTGAGTGAAGGGCACATAGAAACCACAATTTTGTAGCTTCTTGAGAATCTATTATTTCAAAATAAAAATACAAAATAAGGATAGGCATTTGACTCAACATTTAAGATACTGCCTGGGGGACTTATATCCTGTAGCTGAAAATCTTTGAAGCCCAGCTTCACTCCCAATTCCCAACCCCCAACTGCTAACGTGCACTGTGAGGAGCATCAGATTTAGTAGCAAAAACATTTCCGAATGTAGCACAATTCTATCAATGAATCTATCTTCTACTTTAAAAGATAGCTTCTAAGTGCTGAGATTATATTCCAAATTTCTTAACATTAAATCTCGATTTACTAAGCCTTTCCTATTTCAGCTCTTAAACTTCCTAAGTTTCTAGTTCCACACTTCAGTCTTCTTTTAGTTCTCCCACAATACAAAAGCAGCCCTCTGTAGGCATTCCACTGATTTGGAGAGTTCCCTGATACGCCTATAACTTCCTCTGGATATAAGGTTGTGTTAGTTAACAGCACCCTACATTCCCTAACTTCACAATGTGATGCTGTCATTTCTCATCTGACATAGCCTAAAGACAAGAACACTGTGCAGCCTTTTTCAGTTTCACCAGCACCCTTTCAGTCCACATGCAGCACAAAGGAGGCTGCTGATCATTACTGAGGAGAGGATTCTTCCATACCTTCTTATATAGACGGGGAAATTTAAATAAATGCTAGGCAACCCACACAGTTCTGAGACTTGATTCATACTACATGAGGATACCCTTCCCTCTTCCTCTCCATGGGTAGCAAATTAATATTTTTTAGCTATTATAATAATCGTTTTAAGTGACCTATACCTATCTTAGTGATGTCACTCAAACATTCTAAGGTTTAAAGTAAAATCATCAGAAGAAAACTAGTTCCAGGCATTAATCCAGGCATTCAAACCTGAAAAAAGTAAGCCATTTTATCAAGAATTTTGCTACCAAAAAAAAAAAAGGGGGGGGGAACCCAAAGATAATTTACAAAGAAGTGTCTATTTGACAGTCTCAGCTAAACAACAGCCTGGTCCACTGACTTCTTCCTTCCAATGGCATAGCACTTCCAGATTTTATACAAACCACAAACAACTAGGTAATTGTAACAAAAATTCATGTGACAAAGCTGAAAGTGAACTGAGCCACAAGATAATTGGACAACTTATTAAAACTCAAATGTTCCATCTTTCTACAATACTGGCTCTGGAGATAGATAAATGGTACTTGAAAAGTCTGTTGGGAAAAAAATGGATTAATGATGCAAAGAAAAATTTGAAGACCATACATTTTAACAGAAGGGTCAAGACACATCCCAACCAAAACACTGGGGTTCAATTCCTGGCTGTTTCCAATTCTAATTTCCTGTTAATGCATACTGTAGGAATAAGCAGATTATGGTTCAAATAATTGGATTGCTACCACCCATTGACTTCTGGTTTCTGATTCTGGCCTCTCCCAAGCTGGCTGTTGCAGGTACTTCGGAAGTAAATCAACAGAAGGAAGATACCCATTTATCTCTGCCTTTGAAATATGATGAAAACCTTTTTTTTTTTTAATAAAGCAAGTTAGAAATCCATAGTTTCACAATACACATTTTTCAACAATTTTAGATCCCCTCATATGCACTGATTTAAATTTTTTGCAGCAAAATGAACCTAAATTTTAATCCCATTCCCATGAACTTTTCGAAGCAGGCACATAAAACAAAACAAGCAATAAAAAGGAAAACAAAAAGTTGATGCAAAACCATAAAATAACACATGTGTTATGAACTAAGGACTAGAAATTATATTAATCCACATAGAGCTGCCATACATACCCAACAACGCTTAAATTTCAACATATTACACTCAACACTAAAAACATAAAAGTCTCCAAGTGTGCATCCAATAGGGGAATTAAACCCCTAAGTAATAAAGGCAAACAGGTGACAGCTTCTGAGTTTAATCTTGAAAGAATTGCAATTTGTCAAATAAAGATCATATTCATGCAAAAGAAATGCCATGAAAAAAAGACAGATAAAAATAACAGGACACAGAAAGCAAACTGGTTCCTTCCACTGGAGAAGCTGTACAGTACACTGGAAGGCATCAAAACAAAACTTGTAACACTGTAAGAACAGCTAGCAGTATGACATATATACACTTTAAAAAATACGTATTTATTTGAGAGGCAGTGTTAGAGGGAAAGACAGATCTTCCATCCACTAGTTCAATGCTCAAATGGCTGCAGTGGCCAAGCTGAAGCTTTTCCAAGTGCATCAAAAGGTAGTTGAATTGGAAGTGGAACAGCTGGGACTTCAAACTGCAAGCCTAAGGCATTCCACCACTGCACGCGGTGACTAAACCAAACCTGCTGCACTATGTCACCACCATGACAGACATTCTTCTTGTGGGTCAAGATCCGAGACAAAATCATGATGTCCTGCTTTAAGTGAAGCAACATTGTGAGCACAGGCAAGCAGAAAATCATAAGCACAGAATACAAAGACAGTAAAGGTCACAGAGCCAAAACCCAACACACCAGGCAGAAACAGTTGGTGGTCTGGAGAACTTCCACTCCCCAACTCCACAGGCCCAGCTGCCTGGAATCCCAACTCCTCTCTGCCATCCAGCTGGAGTTTGCCTGTCCACAGGTCACTTTAGTGCAGAAATAAGTGGACATGAGACAAAAACAATTCTTTGAAAAAGCTCTGCTCGACCACCCACACAAACCAACAGTCTTGGGGCTATCCTTATTCAAGCATTTTCTTTCCCCCTATTTAGAATTTCCAATGAAAACTTCAAAATAAACTAACCAAGAATGCTTTACAAATGAACTTCACTTTAATTCAGCTAATCTGCAGTTCCACCATCACTATCAGTTTAGGATACAAAACAGCATTATCTTCTCTAAGGGGAGAGTCAATGGGGGAAAAAAGGCAGATGTTAGATCCGCTTTGATGGGGCTAGGCGGGGCTGCTGTTTTGGCTTCTTAGGAAATGGTGCTGTGGGGGAAGAGACCATTACAATCTAGTAAAACGAGAAATGCTGCAAGTCGGCAACAAATGGGGAGGCAGCAGAGAATTCCGAGAGAAGCTGTAAAGAAAAGATGATGTAAAGATATTTAAGAACTTGAACGATGCATGCTCAAGACTATCATGGAGTATGGCTTTGACATCACCCACATCTAGAACTATGCCCTTGATACCTGAGATTCCTAGCCCTATCTCATGGAAAAGCAGGTGCCCACTTACACTGTCCATTTCACTCAAACAGTCTTAGGACAAGTCACAGGAAGAGTTTCTTAAGGTGTAAACCTAGGGAAATGATCTTTATGCTACATTCCAAAACAGAAACGTTCTATTCTTAGTGCTCTTTTGGGCTACTTATTAGTAGAGCTTCAGGCATCAAGAGTCTGGTGAACAGGCTTTAGTGTCTGGCTTAAAACTGAACTAAACAGGGCCCAGTGTGGTGGCCTAGTGGTTAAATCCTTCCGCAGCATGCCCAGGATCCCATATAGGCCCTGGCTCATGCCCCAATTGCTCCACTTCCCTTCCAACTTCCTGCCTGTGGCCTTGGAGAACAGTAGAGAACAGCCCAAAGCGTTGATACCCTGCACCTGCATGGGAGATTCGGAGAAGTTCCCCTGCTCCTGGCTTGATAACCACTCTACTCCAGCTGTTTTGGCCACCTGGGAATGAATCAGTTGGATGGAAAATCTTTTTCTACTTTCCCTTCCTCCTCCCTGCTAAAAGATTGCACTGTGTACCTTTCAAACTAACTGGAGGGTGAGGGCTTAAAAACCCCTGGCTTCTGCCATGTGGTGCAGTAGTTCCTGCAGTGCAGCGGGAGCTGCCGTCACCAAGCTTGGGCAATAAAGACTGCTCCTGAACATCCTACAGCCGAGTCTGGTGTGATCTCTCTCGCACTCCGCAACACTTCTCTCTGTATATATCTGCCTTTCCAAACAAACAAACTGAACTGAACAGATGCTCTACTACGTATCTGGGAAAATGAAGTTACACCGGAGAGCATTCAGAAATCTTTGGCTCAAGATTCTTTTCTACATGGCCTATTAAAAGGAAACAGGGCAGTGTGTCTGATTAACAACCTGCAATATAAAAAGAGAAAGGCACTTCAAAGGCATGCGACTTCTGCATCCTGAACAATTAAATCTATTTTTTTTTTACAGACTATATCTTCCAAACCCTTCTCAAGAACCAGAATGTGTGATATTTACCAACTGAAAGTGTGAATCCAATGCTAATTTTCAACCGTTGTGGACTATCAAGCACCACACACTTCACACTCCCCACCCCTACCACACTAACATCCTCTCTCCTCCGCTCACTCTCCGTACACCTCACAGCCCACACACTTACCCCACCACACACACCCCATATACCCTCGCACCTTACACCCCCACATCCCCTCCCCTACGCCACTACAAACCTCACACTCCACACACCTACCCCCACACACATCCCATACGCCCTCCCCCACCTCACACCCCCTGTCCCATCCCCTCCCTTCCCCTACTCCACCACACACCCCACACTCCCCGTGCATCTCAGTCCTCACGCCTACCCCCACCACATACACCCCACAGGCCCTCCTCACTTCTCATCTCACCTCACACGCCACATCCCCTCCCCACCCCCACACTACCCATCCCTGCCCTACCACGTACACTGCACTCACACACACCCAGTGCACTCCCAGCCCGAGAACTGGAATCTCACCAGCAAGTCGACACGCGCCTCCAGGCGGAGGTGTGGTTTCTGTCGTTTAAAAAACCCCTTGAGAAAACTGCGGGGAGCCTTCCGCTTTAATTTCGCCTTCTGGGAGACTGTGTTTGAGAGTGCCATCCTCTTGCTCGGAGGCGTCTCCTCAGGAACCCAGGGCCACTCAGCCCCGAATGAGACGCCGGGAACCACGCCCCACACAGGACTCGGGCGCTAAACTCTCCCCGGAACTTTTGAACGCGCCGCCGACAGAACGCCCGGCGCGCGGCAGTGACGTGCACACCGCGCTAGCCCCGCCTCTAGAGGCGCCAGACGCGGGATTGGAAAGCGCCCAAGGTGGGCGGGCCCGTCACCCGTGACGTCGGCAAGAGCCGACGCCTGCTCTAATCGCTGGTGTGTTCCCTTCTGAACGGGCAGTTAGGGAGAGATTGTGTACTGAGACATGCGCTATTGCTCTCTACGTTGTCATTTTAGTTTGAGCTTAATAACAATGAACGGAGAAGATAAAGAATACTGAGAAAACATCACAAGCTTCGTAGTTAGAAATAAGTTCCTTCCTAACAAGGCGTAATTTTCTGATGTTGATAGCTAACAGTTTACTCTTTCACATAATTGCATTCCCCGCGCAGTCTTCCTGGTTGTTATTTCCTCAAAATACTGGTCTATTTCCACTTAACCAGGCAACAACATTAACATGTAATCCAAATGCTAGCTCACTTTACGCTGTTACTATTTGTAAGACATTTCTGGGTGCCAACAAAAGAGCTTCTGATTCACCACGTCTGAGTAGGACTTAAGAATTTACAATTTGCGGGCCCAGCACGGTGGCCTCGCAGCTAAAGTTCTCACTTTGGGCGCACCAGGATCCCAAATGGGAACCAGTTCTAATCCTGACAGCCCCACTTCCCATCCAGCTCCCTGCTTGTAACCTGGGTAAGCAGTCGAGGATGGCCCAAAGCCTTGGGACCCCGCACTTGCGTGGGAGACTCAGAAGAGCTCCTGGCTTCTGGCTTCAGATTGGCTCAGCACCAGCCTTGTGGTCACTTGGGGAGTGAATCAGACGGAAGGTCTTCCTCCCTGTCTCTCCTCCTCTCTATATATCTGCCTTAGCAATAAAAAATAAATCTTACTATTTTTTAAAAGAACTGACAATTTGCATCAAGTGTTTGAACTGTGATAATAGGACTAGTCTGAGGACCTCGGTCCGCCACCCCTTGGGATCCACTATGATCACCGCTAGTAACAGTGCTGTACAAATTATCTGGCCTCCCTTTGCCAACATTTGCCAAGAATCATGTGTTATACCCAAGAGCCACTCAGGCTCATTGTTACCCCTGGAAATTGTCCCATGCTACTCTTCATGTTAATGCATTTCTCTCACTCTTCCGCACCATCTCATAGCTTTTGGACCTACTTCCTCCCGGGTCCCAGCTCCAGGACTTCCGTGCTTTAGGGATCACTGTCTTCTTGCAGTTTCTTCCATACGGCTAGCACGTTCACATTCTATGCCTTCTCCTCCAGTCCAATGGCATCATTACGACACTCCTTAAAACATCTCCTCACCCATTTAGCCATTCCTTTTATCTCATGCATGTTTTAGTAAATTCATATCCTGCTTAAGCGAACAGCTCAACTCATCAAAGCTTGAATCTATGCATTAACATTGGTAAAGAAAGTCACACATAAAGACTTGAGTCTGGTCTCAAATGTCCCAACTGCGCAAATGATTTCTAAGGATTGCGGCAGGCTTTCAATACTTTGTAAGGTTATTCATTCATTCACTCATTCATTCTTTTAAATAACTGTCCTGCGTTTTTAACTTTCCCACACTTCCTAACTCACTTTTACAGTGCATTAATTACACTAACAAAAATTTAAACAGCCTAAATATACTCTGCATGAGCAAATTTCTCCACATACCGCTCCCAACCCTGTCTACATCTGCTCCAGCTAGTCTACTATGTCACTGTCTTCTTAAAGACAGTTGAAAAATCTTTTCTTTTCTGCATCATGAATTTTCTCTCTTCTCTAATTTTTCACTAACATACTCATGTACTCCGGCCAGCAGAGCCAGTAATGTGGACACAGAAAGGGTCTGTGGATGAAGCACCAACAGGAGACCAGTGATGGTAGAAGTCTCTGAGAAGTCTCTTTATTGCTTCTTCACCTTTCCTTATAAACTCTCCCCACCACCACCACATCCTCATTTAGCAGAATATTGGATGCAGATGAGTCCAATTAGCCTAGGTGTTTTTAGCCAAAAGCCCAGTTACTGTTCCTATAGATGTGTGTCAATGAGCTCTAATCAACTCTTTAGCCCACAACAGGTCCCACTTTTTTGTTTTAAAGCATACTTGAATGCATGTCTCAGGTTGTGAACTCTCAGGTTATCAGCCTTACCCATCATCGGGAATCTCCACAGCATGATGGAACCTCTTTCTTAGTTGGTCAGTGCCCGGTCGATCTTACCTGTCACTGGCTGCCATTCAACGTGTTGCCTGCTACAGCTGCACAAACCATACTTGGGGAGGCTGGTAACCCTGTTGCATGGCTATGAGTATCTTTAGCTCCATAGCAATGAGCAGACAACAGTTCCCGAGCTTGGGAAACATTTTGTACTTGCACAGGTGCTACATACATAAAGACATATGAAAAAAAGAGGGGTGCTTCACAATATACTAATATACTTATGTAATATATAAAGGCCTAATGTACTTGCTTGTCCCATCGATCTTCCAACTCAAATGCGGTTACCATGGCCAGTACCCGAGCTTTCACAAGACTCTGCAGCAGGAACTTTCCAGACAAGCCTATCAGGAATCCACTGTGGGCCATTTTCATTCTCTGGGAAAACACAAACTTATCCTCACTCCCATATGAGGATGGGATCTGAGCCTTGCCACTGACCAGTCAAGAGATCCTTCCACATCACGTAAACCTTCTGCTTCTGAGATGGATTCCAATGACGATCTGCAGCACACCATCCTTCAGCATCCAATGTTTGAAAATTCAAGATAAATAATACAAGGTTCAAATGGTCTCCCCCGCCTTTTTTTAATAAAGTAATCCTTAATAGTATGCTTGGCATGTTCCACAATACCTTGTCCTTGAGGATTATAAGCAATGCCTGTAATTAGTTGTATATGGTGGAAGGCAGCAAAATTCAGAAAACTTACTGCTGATATAGCAAGGGCCATTAACAGTTTTAATAACGTTGGGAGTTCCCAATATGAAAAACATGCATAGCAATGGGCTAGAGCATGCCTGACTTGTTCCCCTGTCTGAGGAGTAGCTAGAATAAATCCAGAGCAAGTATTGACAGTAACATGCAAATAGTTTTTTGTCCCAAACTCTGAGATGTGTGTCACGTCCATTTGGCAATAATCTTAATATAATTTCAATCTACCTGATTAACAACAGTCTCCACAAAATGGGAGATTAATCTGTCTGCAATCTTGAGTCCTCATCAGAATACCATGGGAAGTCCTAAAATTCGAAACTTGAATTCTTGGATGCCTTTTAAAAGATGGTTAAGAGCATCTGAAACAAGATTTTTGTTGTTGAAGTAAATAGAACACATTATAGATTAGATTCACTTATTGACATGAAATCACTAAAATACCTTTAAAACAAATACAAAACCTTTACAAATTTAAAGCAGTGTGATATTTGATAACCAGCCAAAAAGACCAGAATCACCTTAACATATAAAAATGCCTTGCATACAATGAATATCACATTAATTTAACTTATTCACTGAACTAATTTAATAGTACATTAGAGTTTAATTCTATGCCAAGTTATTTGTGATAAAATTTCACATTTTTGAAAATATCACGAATAAAACCTTAAGAGTTGCAAGAGACAAAAATCTTCTTTGCACAGTTTCTCCAGACTTTGGCCTGGGGTTCCTTCTCCTTTTTTTTTTACCCTGGTTTGGGGTCCTTGTGACTCCCTGCCCCTTCTTATGGATAATTTTCCAAGAAAGGTTTGCACCACTGCTTGAAAAGATGGCAAAGCATTTTTTTTTACCAAGCACCAGCGGTAAAAGGTGGCTATAATGAGAGCAAACAATGGGGATACGTCACAGACAGTTTCAACGAACTTCTGCGAGGTCTTAAGCTTATTGTTGGTGCCTTGTGACTGGAGCAAATCTCTGATTCCCTTAATCATCTGCACTTTAGCGAGTTCTTGCCCCAAGATAAGTTTTACTTATGCCCCCTGCAAAATATTTAATTTTAAGCTTACCTCCAGATTTCCAGGGTCCCTCAGCTTATCCCTTGCCCCCCCATGACGGGGAGATGGTCTGGGGATGAAATCACTTATGCCCCTGCAAAATTTTTAATTCTAAACTTACTTTTGTATGTCCAGAGGTCCCTCCGATTATCCTTCATGCCATACCCCACGTTGGGCGCCATTTGCCCCGGCCAGCAGAGCCAGTAACGTGGGCATGGAAAGGGTTTGTGGATGAAGCACCAACAGGAGACCAGTGATGGTAGAAGAAGTCTCTGAGAAGTCTCTTTTTATTGCTTCTTCACCTTTCCTTATAAACTCTCCCCCCTCACCACATCCTCATTTAGCAGGATATTGGATGCAGATGAGTCCAATTAGCCTAGGTGTTTTTAGCCACAATCCCAGTTCCTGTTCCTGCCCAGCTCAATGAGCACTAATCAACTCTTTAGCCCACAACACTCATGCTGTAATATCTCCAATCTTTTGAAGACTCACTTGACCCTATCCAGAGCTACTACCCTTTTACAGATAAACTAAATGGTTGAATTCAATTTTTCCCATTATTTTTCTCCCATCCTTTCTCAAAGCTAGTGCAGACTTTTGTACCTATCAATCCATCAAAGTTGATTTGGTCAACATGATAAATAACACTGCTAAATCACTGATCAATTCTCAGGCTTCAGGGTTTTTGAGCAATGATGGCAGTAATTATTGGATTTTATAATTATTTGCTCAAAAATAACATTTTATTTAATTATATGTGATTCCTTTTTGATTGCCTTTCAATTTCTACTTATGCTTCCTGCGTGTCACCTTGATATCTACATCATAGAATCCCTCATGGTTCAGTCTCAATATTTCTTTTCTATATCTATTTTCCATGGAATCATATCCAATATTATGATTTTCAGTGCCAAATTTACACTTTCAGCTGATTTTGTCCCCTAGACTCCAGACACGCCTATTCAATTCAATTCTTCATTGGAAGAAAACTCTAAGTCATATTAAAT